GGAAAGAAGGGGCAAAAATTCCATCTCCCAGCCCCCACCTCTTTTGCCACCTGATAACACCTATCTTATTAAAAAGAAACTTTAATCTTCAGGTAAATGTTCCCAGCTTTGTTCCTAGGGTGCTGGTTGCTGGCCTTTCTGACCCAACATGTAGAAGAGTCTGGAGAAGGGGGTGAGGAGAAGGAGGGAGAGTCTAGCTGTTCCTTTTGCTTCCAGAGAGAGGACTGCAGATGGGATTTCACTGAAATTGAGCAGGCTTCAGTATTACTGTTGTTTTTCTGCTGGTTCCCTCACATTGTTACATGGCCTTCACATACAGTACCCCGGCCGACTTCCTGTTTCCAGAGCGACATTTGGCAATTCCTTTCTTAGACACAAGCATTCCCAGCATCAGAGTACTTTAATTTGAAAGGCTTCCCTCCTTCGGCTTCCTCTGGGGTTTTAATGTTTCCTGAGTAGGGACTGAAGAATAGGGGTAGCTTTGGGCTCAGTTTGGCTCCCATGATCAGAGTGGTCATTGCTCTTGCCCTTTAAGTAGGTGTTTTATCTTGACTACTATTCTACTTGCAGGTAGCCAAGAATACCAAACATTTTTACTAGGTTTCTCTAACATTCTTCAGATAGCTGTGATAATGTCATAACTTCCTTTGGCTGGGTGGGGGAACCATTGGGCTGAAGTAATCTTTATTCTGAGGAACACAGGGCCATTCTTTAACCTGGAGAAGGGAAGGCAGAGCGATGATGTTGTAGGAATCTTTTGGTCCACAAAAGGCACTCATTAGATGCACTCATTCTTCTTTATATTTCCTGGTGTCAGAATGAGGGGAAATGGTCTGCAGTAAGAAGGATTTAAATTAGATTCAGAGAAGAACTTCGTAAGTCTTGGGTTACATAATGGACCATCAGGTAAGAATGTGGAATGTCTTGTCTTAGGGGATGAAAGTAATTTTTTAAAGCACTCAGCTGTTGGAGTTTTGTTTAGTTACATTCTCCTGTGGCTACAAGGGGATAGAAAAAAATCATAGATGACCTCTGACCCTAAGATTCTCTTGAACAGAAGATAGTGGGTATTATCAATCTGGTAGTTAAGTGATCAAAGAATATTTACAGAGCACTAACTTATGTACCTACCATCAGACTAGGTATTATGGAAGTGACAAAAGATGGATGAGATATTGTCTCTAACTAGAAGAAATTTTTAGTCTAGCTCACCGGAGACAAAACATACACAATGCACACACCTAGGAAAAATAGGGAATAAGACAGAATGAGTGTTAATTTTGTGAGGCAGATAATAAATGCCACATGAGTTAGAAAAGAGAAACAATGGAGTACAAATGGAGATGGAGTGATTCAATGGAGATAGGATTAGCCTGGGAATTAGAGCACCTGATTTTGAGTTCCATCCATATCCTTAGCTAGCTGTGTGACTGTAGGCAAGTAACTGGACCTCCTTGGCTCTCACTATCCTAGAATAACAGGATTTAGAGCTGGAAGGGACCTCCCAGCCATCTGGTCCAATTGATATCTGAAAGGAATCTTCTGTCCTCCCATTACAACATATTGAACAACTGGTCATCCAGCCTTCGCTTGAAGATGTATAAGGAGAGGAAACCCACAGGATGCAATATTTAGAGCTAGAAGGGAACTGAATAGTCATTGAGACCAACCTCTTCGTTGTACAGATAGGGAAATGCAGGCTTAGGAACATAGTCCCATAGCATTCCAGTCATGGAGGCAGCCAGAGAAAATGCACACAGAATAGGGAGATTAATGTCATGTGCAATGAGGCCAGTGTCACTGGATTGTAGAGTATGTGGAGGAAGGGTAACGTATAAGAAGACTGAAAAGCGGCCAGGTTATGAAGGGCTTTAAAAACCAAACAGAGGATTTTATATTTGATCCTGAAGATGATAAGGATCCACTGGAGTTTATTGAATAGTGGGGTGATGTGTTCAGACTTGGAGTTTAAGAAGATCATGTTGATAGCCGAGAGGAAAATAAAATGCAAACTCTAGCCTTCCAGCCTTATTGAATACCATTCTATCTCCTGTCTCTGTTCACTGACACAGGAACACCCCATTTTGGGGGAATGTACTCTTCCTCAAATCTGCTTTTCAGAATCCTTATCTTCATTAAGCTATTTTATCTTCACCTTAGCAACCACCTTCCTTTCCCTGTTCCTTTCCTTTCACAATCCCCACCTTTCAACCTGCTAACCAGCTGTGGGTGAGATCTCCCCCCTCAAATTTTCCTAGACCACTTTAACCTGATCTTTCCTTTGTATCCATTCATACCTGTCTTGTATTAGAGTCAGCTATGTGTATGTTACACCCAGTACTAGGAGGCACAGTGGCTAGAGCTCTCACCTGGAGACAGAAACACCCAAATTCTAATCTAGTCTTAGATATTTATTAGTTGTGTGACCTGGACAAGTCACTGAATCTCTGCCTCATCCATAAAATGGGGATAATATTAGTACCTACCTTGTGGGATTATTGTGAGCATAAAATGAGGTAATACTTGTAAAGTGCTTTGCAAACCTCAAAATGCCGTATAAATGCTCATTATTATCATGAATAATTATTATATCACAATACAATCACAATACAATAATAATTATGTAATAAAAATTGTTACTACTATTCCTTCCTCAGTAGAATGTAAGCTCCCTGAGGGCAGGAATTATTTTGTTTCTGTCTTTGTAACCCTGGGGTATGTGGGGGTTCTAGTAAAGTGCTTGGCACATAGTAGGTGCTTGTTAATTTCCAATGAATGGAAGAATAATCTTTCCTGAAAATACAATAATATTGAATATGATGCCCCCCCCCAGCATGCATATCCCAAGAAGAATAGTGCTTAGGAATTGTATGTTGTAATATGACCAGATGATTTATATAAAAAAAAAATAATCATTGGACAAGTGAATCAGTCAAACAAGTCTGTTTAGGAATGGCTAGGTATTCAATAAAATTAAACTGGGGCTATTTGGAGGCTTCTAGAGAATGACCCTTAGTGTCATCTGATCTAGCCTTCCTTTCCCTCTGTGGATTACGTTACAGCTCATTAACATTCTTACTTTTATCTCCCTATTTACATGCTGAGAATAGACACAGATTTGGTAAGGTCTACACCTGTCAGGATGGAGGGACAATAATAGAACCACCATTGGGGACTAATAGACATTGGTTTTAGGAGCAGGTCCAGTAAGGTCTAGGTCAGGAAGCCAGTAGCTGCAGAGTCAGGGAATTTAGTCAGCTGTCATCCCTTCCTAATTAAAAATAGCCCAGTGTCTCTTGCATTCCATTTTTCTGTGTTAGTTCTCTACCTACCCAACCCTTTCCCCCATTCCAAACCTGTGTAAGGATATTCTCCCTCTACAAATGGGTCAGACTGTTTGCATGTTTAAGCCATGGGGAATTTGATTCAATTCAGTTCAATAAACCTTTCTTAAGCACCTGCTGTGCACAAGACACTGTGGTAGGTGCCTGGTATCCAAAGACAAAATTGAAGGAGTTGACATTCTACTGGGTAGATTCCGTGCATACACAGTTAAGTCAATAGAAACTGGTAGGAGACAGAGAGATCACTAACAGCCAGATGGCTCAAGAAAGACTTGTTGTTCTTGGGTAAGTCTTCAAAGATGCTAAAGATTTGAAGTGTATGGAACCAGCCTGTGTAAAAGCCCAGAGATGGAAGATGGCATTGTTGAATTTGAGAACAGCTCATAAGCCAAGTTTGTTGGAATGTACAAAGTGAAGTAATATAAAATGTTTGCAAAGGTAGGTGGGAATCAAATGGTGGAGGATTTTCCATGCCAACCAGCCTGAGGAGTTTGTATTTTATCTTAGAGACCATAGGGAGCTACTGAAGATTTTTGAGCAAGGGAGTATCCTATATGTTAAGAATATTCATTTGGCAGCTTTGTGTAGGGTAGATTAGAAAAAGGAAGAACAATTAGGAGGCTATTATAGTAGTCCAGGTGAGAAATAATGAGGTTCTAAAGAGTGAGTGAAGAGTAAATGGAAGGAAGGAAATAGATCTGAGAAAAGTGGCATCAATTCAATTCAATTCAGTTCAATTCGCTTAAATAAATATGGCAAAATACTGTTTTAAAAATATTCATTCAGTAAACATTTCTACATTAGCTTTAAGGTTTTGCAAAAAACTTTACATAGATTAACTCATTTGATCATCATAACAATCCTGTCAGATAGTGACTATTATTTTAATTCCCAATTTATAGATGAGAAAACTGAGGCTGAGAAAAGTTAAGTGACTTGCCCAAAGTCACTTATTCTACTAAGTATCTGATGCAGGATTCGAAAGCAGTCCTTTCTTATTGCCAGCCCTAGCTCTCAACCCACTATACCGCACTACTTCCTTTGCAGTTTGTTTTACTTACTTCCTTAAACTTACGTCTTGCGTAGCATAAATGTTGAATGAAACCCCTCCATAATGCTAGTGTTGGGGGACAGGGATAAGACCAATAGATTGTAGACTCATTTGGTTATATTAGAATAGCTGACATTTATACAGTATTTTGAAGTAAGCAAAGCCTTGTAACAACCCATGTTATAGATAAATTGAGATTCAGAGGGAATATGCCCATGGTCAAACGGGCAATAAAAGTAGTACAACCAGGCTTCAAAGCTATGTCTTTTGACTCCAAGACCAAGGCTCTCTGGACTATATCCTGCTGCTTTCAATCACTTACCTGGTCATATGTCAACTATAAAAGAGGCAAAAAAAAAAGAGTCAAGTTTTAGTCACCAGGTATGTAGTTATTTAGGGAGATATGATTTGAACCACTGATATGGACTTGAACCATGTTATTAGTTTGGTTGAAAGAGCAGTAGACTAGGAATCTGGAGAATTGGTTTCTGGGTTTTTTTCTGTTACAAAGTATTGACAGTCATTCCCTTCTGAGTTTTGCTTTCTACATCTATAAAAATGAAGGATTTGACGGTAGACTAAAAGCTGTCTCCGGTCTCTTCCAGCTCTGACATCTATGGTTGCTGTTCTAATATGGATCCATGCTTCAGTACTTACAAGAATCCATGACTTCATTGATGTGGGACCTTTCTCTCCTCTGAGGGAGAGTAGAGCCCTGCCATGCCTTAGTAGGCAGTCATCAGGAGCTGCTGTAGCCAGAAAACCATCATCACCTGGTAGGCAGCCTTCTGCTGATGGGCCTCTCTGAACTAATCTTGGCCGGTCCTTGGATGACAGACACTAGGCCAATACTTGAAGCCTATCCAGCCCTGGGTAGGACCTGCCAGGGCTTGAATTCTATGGACATAACCTACCCAGAATAGCCTCTGTTCCATAGTGAGGAATAAGAGGAGGACTTTGGTGGAGGACAACATGATTATAACAATCTGATTTTTTAAATCAACAATTAAACTGCTAATGAACCATTATTAAAACATTATTAATTATTTCAATTAATAATTTGATGTATGTTTTTGTGCCTCTTGGAACACACAGCACAGTTCCTACTCTGCTTAGGTTGTATGACCTGCAAATTACAGGCTCAGGACATACCCCAGTGGGCAAAAACTAAGTAAACTTCTGCTATCAACCTTAGTGTCAGCTAGGTGAGGCAGTTAGCAGATGTGCTGGATAGACAGCTGGGCCTAGAGTCAGAAAGAACTGAATTCAAATCTGGCCTCAGATATGTACTAGCTCTGTGACCTTGGGCAAGTCACTTAACCTTAGCTTACCTCAGTTTCCTCAGCTGTAAAATGAGGATAATAAGAGTACCTATCTCCCAGGGTTGTTGTGAAGATCAAATGAGATAATCGCTGTAAAGCACTTAGCACAGTGCCTGGCATATAGTAAAGGCTATGTAAATATTAGCTGTGGTTATCATCATCATCATCATCATCCCTGCACCTATCTGGCCTAGACCTTTCTATGGAGCCATTTAGACAGACTTGATCCCTGCCCTCTAGTTACTTATAGTCTACATTAGTATCATAAATCTAGAGTTGGAAGACACCTCTAATTTTATTGATTAAAAACACCGAGGCCCAGAAAAGTAAAGTGACTGGGCCCATGGATAGTAAGTGGCAGATGCATGAGTTTAATGCAAGGTCTGTGACTCCCAAGTTCACCTCCAAGATAGAAATAGACAATAGAGGGGTGGTTGAATATAAAAATAAAAGCATATACCAAGTACAGAATTAAATGTTGGACAAACACACAAGTAGGTAGGATGAAACGTTTCCATACATGACAAGAGCTGGGAGGTAGAGATGTTGGAATTCTAATCTCAGGGTCAAGTAGGCTTCTCTTACAGTAAAGTTTATTATTTCTGATTTTTTTTTAACACTGTGATCAGACTAAAAGCAACTTCATGACTATTAAGTTACAGTGTTTGTTTACTGGTTACATAGTCATCCTTGAATCTTCTTGAATTTCTGGAATGGCCCTATTATCTAGTTTCCTTTGGACTCCCTTGGGCCTGGAGTCCTTTATTAGAGTGAAAGAGAGAGAGAGAGAGAGAGAGAGAGAGAGAGAGAGAGAGAGAGAGAGAGAGAGAGAGAGAGAGAGAGAGAGAGAGAGAGTTAGTTGAATGTGTTGTTTTGGGGAAGCCAGGGTTTACCTCTCAAGCTAGACATTCTACTTAGTGAAGCAGGAATCATCATGTGTTTAGTGTGTATCTAGCTATCCTATTGATTGCTTAGTGACTCCTAAAGATCATACATCAAAATGAAATCATTGGAATTGATCTCATTGGTATCACTGAGAGTAGGATAAAACCCATGACTGGTCAGACTGCTCTGGATAGGTATATTTTATTTAAAAGAAATATGATAGTTAAAAAGGGTGAGGGAAGGGGTGAGGTAGCATTGCATATTAAGAAGGTATGCTCATGTCAGGAAATCTAGGGACCAAATGGGGTATATGTGACACAGAGTGTTTGGTCAAAGGAAGGAGAAACAGAAGCCTGACACGGAGACATTGTAGAGTAGTGATGAGGCATTTCAATTATCTAGACATTTGTTGGAGCCCTCTGCCAAAAACTTAGTAACTCCTGACTTAGTGGTAATTTAATCTTTCAAAAGATGGAAGAACTAATGGGGGGAAATTCAATTCTGGATCTGATTTCCACTAACAGGGAGGGACTACTTACTAGTATGGAAATGATGGAAACCTTGGAGAGATGTGACTACTCCACCCTAGAATTTGTGATAGAGAAGCAGGCAAACAGCAAACATTTTTTTAAGCTCCATGAGACTGAAAAACCAGGGTTAATGAATGGGGATGGGAGAACATAACTGAGTCAGCAGTGGAGCCCAAAAAGGAATGAAGACAATGTCTGGCCCTGGTGCTTTCCTTAAAAGGGATCTAATGACAGTCAGTTAGAGGAAGGGTCTGAAGAGACAGAGTATAATTCCAGTGTGTCAGAAGCCTAGGGGCATGAGTAGGTTACTGATAATGTGCCTTAGATTTTGCTAGGTAGGGAAAGAATATTTCAAATGGTTCATCAAATTTCCAGATGACTTGGAGCTGAGAGGAACAGCTGGCATACTGTATGACAGAGTCAGAATCCAAATGGACCTTTTCAGTACTAGAGCATTGGGTTGAATTTCATAAGTTGAAATTCAATAGGTAGAAGTGTCTTGCATTTGGCTTCAAAAAATTCTACTTCACACATATAAGATGAAGGAAGCATGGATAGATAGCAGTTGTTTTGAAAAAGATCTGGGGGTTTTAGCAAACTGTCATCTCCATATGAATCAGCAATGTGATGTGACAGTCAAAAAGCTAATATAATTTTGGGCTGCATTAAGAGAGTCATAGCATCCAAGAATAAGGAAGTGCTAGTATTATAGGACTCTGTCTTCATTATATTTCATTTGTAGTATTATGTTCAGTTTGGGGTGCCATGAAAGATATTACCAAGAAAGCTAAGGATATATCTACCTCTACTACTACTACTACTACTACTACTACTACTACTACTACTACTACTACTATTACTATTCCTACCACCACCACCACCACTACTACTATTCCTGTTGCTACTACTACTATCACCTTCTCCCACTACCACCAGTACTGCAACCACCACTACCACTACTGTTATTACTACTACTACTACTACTACATAAAAACTAGAATTTATAGAGTACTTAAAGATTTCTAAAGCACCTTACGAATACTATCTTATTTGATCATCTCAAGAACTCTGTGAGGTAAGGTGATTTGCCCAGGGTTGTTCAACTACTGAAGTGCCGAAGCAGAATTGGAATTCTAGTCTTCCTGACTCCAAGTCCAGTACTCTTGCCCACTGTACCACCTACCTGCCTCCATATGTCAGGATCAAGTGAAAGAAGTGAGATATATATAGTCTGGAGAAGAGACCATGGAGGAATGATAGTTTCAAGTATATGAAAGACCCTCAGGTTGAGGAGAGATTAAACATTTTCTGTTTGGCCCTATCTTCACACACATTCAAGAAAGTCTAGGAAATGTCAAAATCCAATACAAGGAAACATGGAGCTCATACGACAGTAAAGCAAGTCAACTTTATGGGGATGGGTGATATTCACAAAATGAAGTCAGTGAGAATGATGGAGACAGGTTAGCTGGGACCCCAGAGGGAATGGGCGTTCTCTCCCAAACCAGTAAAGTCCGATGGGTTTTTATAGGTTTCTTACTTGTGTCTAGCAATACCAGGTATCTGGGGCAAGAGTAAGAATCCTGAACCTAAAGGCTGTTGCAGTTTCATGCTTGTGGTGGGGAGGAAAGGCTCCTGGGTAATTGGAGGCTAATTGATATTCAAATTCCTCACTTCCCAGAAAAAGGACTTTAGGTTGTTACTTCTGGTTTTACTCTGACAAGGCCACTGAGCTTCTTTGAGGCTTCTTCATTTAGCAGATTGGAGAGGCTACCATATTCTTTACAGGCCCCAAGATAGCAGAACCAGGAGAAATGGGTGGAAGTTAAAAGGAACCCAATTTCAACTTGACATCATGAAAAATTTCCTAATAGTTAAAACTGTCCAAAAGTGAAATGGGCTGGCTTAAAAAGTGGAGGATACCTCTTCCTTGGAGGTCTTCATGCAGAGACTGGATGTCCACTTGTGGGATGTTATAATGAAGATACTTTTTGTATAAGGGTTGAACTAGACAGCTACTGGAGGCCCTTCTAATTTTTAAATTCTGTTTATGTGAATTCTTAGCCTTTGAACAGCTTTGATAATAGAGACAGAAAACTGACCAAACCCATACTTTTTTTTAACCTATCTTTCCCACCCCCACCTCCCATCCCCAACAGGTAAGTAACAAGTAGAACAAAAAGAAATCATTGTCTTTCCTTCTCATATTATAGTAATTTTTTTAGATGCAACTGTGGGAAAATGGCTATTTTTTGGTAAGGTTCATGGAAGCAGAGGCATTAGATTTCCTGGCAAGTCACATTTTGCAGTGGTACCTTCTTCAACTCCCTTCTCTGATCTCAACCACATTTATTTGAAGAGGCATTTTGGTGTATGCAAGTAGAAAGGTTAGTAAATTAGGTTTGAACCCTAACTCTTACACCTGTTGGTAACTTTGTCCCTTGGCCTGAAGTCAGGAATACTCATCTTCCTGAGTTCAAATCTAGCCTCAGATACTTACTAGCTGTGTGACTCTGGGCAAGTCACTTAACCCTGTTTTCCTCAGTTTCCTCATCTGTAAAATGAGCTGGAGAAGGAAATGGCAAAGTACTCCAGTATCTTTGTCAAGAAAACCCCAACTGGGGTCATGGAGAGTGGGACATGACTGCGCAGCAACACTGCTACCACTAATGTCTCAATTGACTTCCCCTCTCTGGGCCTTAGTTTTCTCCAATGTAAAATGAGAAGGTGTGATTGGACAAGTGATGTGGTCTCCTTCAGTTCTCTATCCCATGATCTCCTTGGTGCATGTCTTCTCCTTAATTCTCTTTATTCCCCCTTAAAAAAAAATTGCTTAATGGAACATTAACAAACCTTGATCAATACTCATTTCTCCTTCACAGAACAGTGCCAGAGTTCAAAAGTCAGAGTCAAAGCTGAAGATGCTCCTGTCACATGCCAAACCCCTAAGGTGGCCAAAGCAAATTCTGCCCAATGTTGTTGGCTGCTTCCCCATGTTTTTATTTTACCACTGCTCCCTGACATTCCAGCGAGGCTTTATAATGTTCAAAGCCCTTTCTCAGACATTGTCTTTTCTAAACCATAATACAGCCCTCTAAGGGAGGGACTGAAAATAATTGTTATTGCCTTTTTACACATAAGCAAACTGAGGTTCAGGGAGGTTAAAAGTGGTTTGCCCAAATGTGTATAACTCCTAAGTGATGGAATAGCTGGGAAGAAAAGCAGGTTTTTTTTTTCTGACTCCAAGTCTAAATAACTTTCCACTAAAGCCTGCCATGACTCTGTCAATCTTTCCCAGGCAATGGGGAAAAAAAA